AAAAAAAAAAAAAAAAAAAAAAGACCTAGATAGGTGGTGCTTTGAAAGGGGAGATCACTAATGATAAACATGGGTGACGGATACTTGGGGTTGTTCAGCATTATTGTCGACATTCTTTCACTTAAACCAGGGCTTTGAATTTGGGATTTCAACATTTTTGTCCACTTATATAATAACAGCTTTTGAAAAGGAAACTTTTAAAGTGTTAGATTATTACCTCGAGTAAAGTACCAAAATATGAGTGTGTATCGACTTCCTAGAACGTGTTTGATGAATACCCACTGTCATTCTTTCCTAGAAATCAAAGCCCAAGTTTTACGTGCTTTCCATGTTCCCTTACCCTTCGGGCAGGCTGCACATGGGCCACGTGCGTGTCTACACCATCAGTGACACCATCGCCCGGTTCCAGAAGATGAGGGGGATGCAGGTAAGGAGGGTGCCCACTGCCCGCTCTCCGCTGGGGACAGGGCTGTCGCAGTTTGCATGACAGAGCACGGGCAGAAGCTCGGAAGGCGTCAGGCCAAAGCGCCTCGATTAATGGGGGACCGCCGGCCGCCGTCGGGAGTTAGCTGGGGATGGGGGTGGACGGGGGCGGGAAGGCAGAGGCCAATGGGGGTAGCGCTCGTCTCTCCCCAGGAGGGGCTCGCCCTTAAGTGCAGTCATCGTGTCGCGCATGAAGGCAGGAGTCCCAAGATGGATCACTGCCCACCGCCGTAACACGTGTCCGAGACGACCTCTTACAAAGGGAAGAGGTGTCCTTCGGATCACGGTTTCAGAGTGTTCAGTCCATGGTCTGGTGCACCATGGCTCTTAGGCCTCCGGTAGGGTTCCAGATGGCAATGGCAGGGAACACGTGGGAGCAGAAGTGTGAAGGGAAGGGAGCGGGGTCCTGCTGACCCCTTCAAGGGCATCCTCTCGGAGACCTGAGGCCCACTAGAGACGAGGCTGTCGGAGACCAGGCTCCGCCTCTTAAACATTCCAAGCGTGTAGCACGGGTGACGTTGAAGGTCCAAACTGGTGTGCTGGTGAGTGGCAGGTGCAGCCTCAAGAGACCTCTCCCCCTTCTGTTAGATGTTTTCCATAGTCTCTAATGAGTAAGAACTTTATAGTGGGAAAATAAAATTTTATAGGAAAAACTATTTCAGGAATAACAACTCTGGGGTGTTGGGAAAGCTTCACTAAGGAGGGAACGTGTGACGTGGGAGAGCAAGGTAAAAGTCACCAGGAGGGAGGAGGACGGAGCCCCTTCCTTGGCTGACCTGGGGTCTGTCCCTCCACCCCACGGCCACCACCCGAGCCGGCCCTTCACTCGGCAGTGACAGCCTGTGAGAGATGGTGGGAGTGGCCGTGACGGCTCCCACATCTGCCTCCAGGAAGAGGTGAGAGCAAAGTGGAGCCGGCAGACAGACAGACAGACAGACAGCCCTTAGCACTAACCGGCAGTGTGGCCTTCGACTGCTCAGTCTCCTGAGTGTGGACTGTGTGTTCCCTGGCCCAGTTTTACCTGTCAGTCACCTTGGTAGCTTGAAATCTGCTATGGTGGGAACGCGTGCATTATGGGAATCGGCAGGCTGACAGAAGGGCTGTGTCCCACTTACCTGTCGGCCCGTGCCGACGACAGCTGCCGCTTCCTACCTTAAAAAAAAAATTCATTTGTTTCGTATGTATGTGTTTATTGATTTGCAGTACCGGGGAGTAAACCCAGGGCTTTCACACTGAGCTACATTCCCGGCCTGGGCTGGCTCTGATGCCCGGGCCTCCCTGTGCCTCCCAGAGTGCTGGGACCACGCCCAGCTCTAGTTCTTGATAAAGAATCTTTCTTAGAAAGATAAGTACACTATTGATTGTAACTGGTTTGAAATTTTTGCCGCCCTGATATTGACGGCAAGAAGGATTCTCTGAGAGGACTTGTGTTGTGAGTTAGTAACTCCAGGAGCAGGCACAGGTGTGTGCGGCCTTGGTTCAGGTCACGTGCTATCTTCCTCAGACATGGTGTCTTGTTATTTCTGCCGTGTTTAGACCGAGTGAATTGGCTCTTTACCCAAAGTGAGATTTTCTTCTCTCTCTCTCTCTCTCTCTCTCTCTCTCTCTCTCTCTCTGTATCCCACCAAGGGCCTTTCATGAGCGAGGAAAGTGCTGTACCCCTGGGCTGCAGTACAATTCCTTAACTAATCACGATTCTTCAGCTAGATTCTTATACCGACTTATTTGGAGCAGTCAGTGGGAGCAGGCAATTGATGACGATGAAGCATTTGCAGCAGACTGCATTTATGATAGGGTGGAGGGAGTGGGGGTGTACGCGGGGTTCGGGACGATGGTCCAGAGGGAGCTCGAGCACAGCCCCGTAGGAAGCGGGCGCTGGGAGACACAGGAGCCTCCCCCAGGCCAAAGCCCAAGGTTCCCCTGGATTTGGGCCCCGAAGTGCTCCTCCAGCTCCTAGCTGAGTGACCGAGGACAGCCATTTAGTTCTGAATCCCAGGGGCAGTGGGCTGAGGATGTAGCTCGGGGCTTGAGCATTGCCTGGGAAAGAGAGAGAGAGGAGAGGAGGGAGGAGCGGAGGGAGGGCGACAACGCAGCACCTGCGGCTGGGCTGCAGGAACCCTTCCCCACGGATGGCTGTACTTTCATGTACACCAAAGGGACGTCCCCGGCTGCTGGGGAAGTGATTCAGCGCCATTGGATAACGCAGACCGGGTGTCGCCCGCCGCTCTGCGCATCCCTGGGCTCTGCGCCTCTGTTCCATGTAAGGGGCCTCGGTCTGTGTGATCAGAAGGCCCGGGGTCTCCTCTCGCTCCTCTTCCCTGCTCTGTGTAAGATGGTGAGCTGTCTTTGAGATGTCCGTCAGGTGACCGTGAGATGAGCGTCTTGCTGGTTTTCCTAGTTCCTGCGAAAGACATTCCTGTTCCGTGGAGAGCCAGCAGCTCTCTCGGTGAGAGCTCGTCTGGCTGGGAGGAGAAGCAGCAATCCTGGTTCAGTGGTCGGTGGGGAGAGAGGGCATGTGAGCTTCTGGGTCATTTTCGAGTCCAGCCCAGCTCCAGGGCCAGGCCCTGCACTCCCGGGGGTGGGCCGAGAAGAGGGGTGTCCCGCACCCGGCGTCCAGCTCCAGGGCCAAGCCCTGCACTCCCGGGGGTGGGCCGAGGGAAGAGGGGTCCCGCACCTGGCCTGCAGTACTGCCTCGTCCAGCCAGTTCAGGGCCGGGGCCCCAGCCGTGTCCCCAGCCTGAGGCTGCCTGCTCTGTTATCTGGACATGTCCCGTCCCGAGTGACAGGAGGGCCTGAGGAGCGCAGCCGCCGCTTTCCCTGTGACTCTGCTCCCGAGGGGATTCCGGGGAGCAAGGTGGGGCCTCCAGGACCTCCCCTCCCTCCGCCTGTGTCCGCCTTGGCAGCAGGCAGCACCCGCCACCTTCTCCGGAAGCACTGTGCTTCATGTCTTGGCTTCTTCCTCCTTCTTCCTCCACAAGTTTTTTTTCTCTCCACTCCATCTTTCCATAACCCCCCCTTTTGGTTTTTTGTTTGTTTTGTTTTTTTGAGACAGGGTCTCACTCTGTAGCCTGGGCTTGCCTCAGACATGCAGCGATCCTCCTGCCTCAGCCTCCTGAGTGCTGGAATGACAGGCCTGCGACACCACACCCGGCCATGTCTTCGTACTCTTCAGGTTGAGAAACTTCTCCCTTACTCCTGGGTTGCTGAGAATTTTTGTCCTGAATGGTGATTTTATTTTGTCAAATGCTTTTTCAGTATATATTGAGATGGTGTATGATTTTTTCCCTTTAATCTGTTGATATGGTACATTGAGTTTTTGAAACTATTAAAACAACTTTGCATTCCTGGGACACATTTTATTTTTTCATGATTAAAAAATGTATATATTTCTATATTCAATTTGTTGATCTTGAGCACCTGAGCGATATTAATTATTATTTTATAATATCCTTATCTGGTTTTGGGATTATGGTTATTCTGGCTTCATAAAATAAGCAAAGAAGAGTTCTCTTCTGTGTTCTGAAAGTGTTGTGTTTTATTGTTATTATTTCTTCCTTCAGTGTTTGCTAGCACTCACCAGTAATGGTTTCAGCGCCCATAGTTTTCTTTGGGTGGAGTTATAAAATTACAAACTCTGTCTCCCTCATGAATATAGTTATTTGTATCCTCCACTTCTCTCTGTGTTTGTTTTGTAGCACTGGAGATGGAACCCGGGGGCTTCTCACTGAGCTATATCCTTACCCCCTTTTATTTTTTATTTTAAGACAGGGTCTTTCTAAATCTCCAAGTAGCCCAGGCTGAGCTCAAACTCACTGTCCTGCCTCAGCCTCCCACAGTGCCTGGATTACAGGTGTGCACCACCACACCCAGCTTCTGTGTCCATTTTAAGAAGTTGTGTTTTTCAAGCAGTTTGTTCACTGTGTCTCTATATTCTGTTCTGTTCTCTAGCTCCTCTTTTTTTTTTTGGCACCAGGGATCAAACTTGGGTCCTTGCACTTGTAAGGCAGGTGGCGGAACCACTGAGCTAAATCCCCGGCCCTCTAGCTCTTCTTTTTTCTCTACCCACTTTCCCTGTGTAGTCTCATCTACCCCCTTTATTTTAATATTGTACTTTTAAAAATTATACACATCTCCAACAGAGGACACAGATGAGCAGAGACTCAGAACTACTACCCTGATGTGTCAGAAGCTACCATTTAACCCATCATCTCAGTGTGTAAGCCCAAAACTGTAATAGATTCAGCAGTCTCTCTGTAATCATATTATCTTCCTTCAGTTCAAAATAATCAGTAAGCACCATCCAGAGGCCTGTGTCTGTCTATTCTTTGCCAACCTGTTCCCCACCCCCCGCCTTTTTCCCTCTATTTTGTTTTTTTGAGATAAGATCTCATAAAGTGCAGGGTGGCCTTGAACTCACTATGTAGCCCAGACTAGCCTAGAACTTGCAATCCTCTGGCCTCACCTTCCCAAGGGCTTGGATTACATGCATGCGCCACCACACCCAGATTTGTATCTTCATGTTTCCATGCTTTTGCTCTGGATATTATTTAAGGACAGGAATATACACACACACGTGTGCGCGCACACACACGAGTGTGTGTGTGTGTGTGTGTATGTCATTTTGTGTTTTTAAGTTTATATAAAAGACATCTTACTAATATTCTGCATATATTTTTAGTCAATACTGTTTCAAGGTTCATCCTGTCTGCAACTCTGGAGTTATTCCATCCATTATAAGTGCTGGCTGTATAACCGGCATGGTGATGCTTACCTGTAATCTCAGCACTTGAGAGGCTGAGGCAGGAGGATCACTGTGCGTTCCAGTTCAGCCTGTACTACATAGGGAGACCCCATCTCAAAAAAAAAGGAGGGAGGAAGGAAGGGGAGAGAGCTGTATATAATCATGGTGATGCTTGATTACTCATTTTCGTTTGATAGACTTTTT